AAGAAATATTTTGGAACAAAGTAATTGATTTAACTATACTTCTATCCCATAACAGTTCAACAATTCTTCAGTGTTTTATTTGACAAACTCCCCAATAAAACTTTCTATCTACTTGTTTCACCAGAAATACCAAGTTTAACCAGCACATCTGCCTGAAAACCAACGATGCCAGCTGTTGAAATACTGTAGCACTGCTTTTTGAACACCCCATCAGGAAGATACTGCTGGGTGCAGATACCGTACAGTGCACAAATTAGTCTGATTACTTGCTGTGGAAATAATACTTGTCTCAAGAAATCGAATACTCTCATGCTGAAGTTCAGAAGAAACACAAAGCTTACCTCTTTTACTAACATGTTGCACAGAAGTCTACCCACATAACAGATAGGTACATCAGAAGGCCAAACAGCTATAGGAATTCAAGTACTCCAAAAAAGGAACAACTGCTCCCTGCTGCAGGGCTGCTGTGTTCATCTGTAAAGTCCAGAAAGAAACAGATGTAACTAAACTACACTTCTGCGAATCAGGAACATGAAACTCATGCCCTAGGTCCACCAGTATTTGAATGAATCACTATCTGAATACATGTAAATATTGTCCCTTCATGTAAGTAACACAACCAATATGTTCATCAGCTGTGGGTTGCAAAAGAAGGACTTTTTCTAAGCACTAGGTTCCAGGTTTTTGTCTACAGCAACAGACAAAAACTGAACACGTGCTGGAATGGATCAAATGCATCAGATTTCATTTTTCCACTATTCTTCAAAGAGCACTTGAAGCTATTTCACAGTTTACTATACACTTACCATTAATAACTGTCACCTTCCACACCGTTTTCTATTTTTAATCCATGGTTTGGACTAAGGTAACTGTGGCAAGGAGTCCAATATCAGATATGCTGTCCTAAAAACGTTTTATGCTGCTTCAAATCAATGTTACCTAGTCCAATACCCTTCCTGCAGCAATGGCCAGATAAGATGCCTTGTTCATATACTCTTACTTAAGTGTGTTGTTGTAAGGTTTCATTACTTTTGCTCAAGGCTTCCCATATTAAAGATGTTTTCCTGTCCAGTAATCTGACACGCCATTTTCTTCCATGCTATTTCCTAGACTCTTCCTGAAGCCACACAAACTTGGTTAACACCCTACAATAAGAAGTTTCATAGCTTTAGCAACACACATGTAAGACTACCAGCTTCTTTCTGCTGTTCCTCCTGTTCTTGCATGGGACATGCATTAGGATGAAATTTTACCATAGGGAAGCAATCAGAAGCTGCAGCTGTATGATACACCCCAGTACAGAAACTGTGGGTGGGGCACGACCAAACTAAGTGTACAGTAGTTGTCCAATGTCTTCAGCAGAGAAGATCCCAAGTAGTGTCCAAACCAAATCAGATAAAGTTGCCCTGCAGCACTCAACATCAGGTAAAACCAAAGTATTTCTAGATATAACTTCTAACAAAAACTGCATTTAATACACAGGTATTAAAGACCTCAAAAGTTTTGTTTTCATTCAAGCAGAGGCTACAGGCTCTAATTTTGGTCAGACTAAAAAGAGACATTGCACTGAACTCAATACCTTGGAAGCTTCACACAGAAGTTGCAGAGCTATGAAACACTAATGTATACATACTTGAACTATGGAATACTATTTTTTCCAAAACATTGTGAAGCAAAGCAAAGAAGCTACCTGAAGAAAATAGAACTGCAAAGAGAAAACAGACTGCAAAGCAAGTAACAGCTTACCTTGTACATCAAGAAAATTGAGTGATATTTCATCTTCCAAAACTAACATAAGCTACAAGAAAAAAGTGGTAAGAACTATCAGATATGGTCACATAACTGAAGATTCCTAAAGACAAAAGCTAGGTTTCAGCTATCAATTTAACAGTTGTAATAAGCCTGTTTTCATGTGTATTTATCCAGTTCTAATCAGAATTGAAATTTAGTTCATTTCTGAGTCACTCAGCAGTTGAACAGAAAAATTCATCACATGAACTGCAGAATGAGCGAGACTCCACATACCACCTCGCTATGCCTTACCAAGCAAGAACCCCACTCCTAGATCCAGGATGAGTCTTTCAAGCCATACAGTATTTCTCAGGTAGATGCCTAAAAGAGTTACATTTAGCCATTAATTTTGGACCAATATTAAATGTGATCTTCAACTACTGAAGAGTAATTTTTGCAATCTTACTCCCTAGAGCTACCAAGTTGCAACTGGGAAGCCTCAGATTTCCTTTACAAAGACTGGGGACCTTAATTCAAGCATATAAAGAATGCAACTTGACCTGCTCTCATTATCCTGAGCACCTATTGTAAACCTCCTCAGACTGTCAATTACATTCGAAGGAAATTAAACCAATAGGTATTAAGTCTTTCTCTGACAACATCCCTGTTCAGCACAGACTACTTTTACCTGCCCAACAGCTGTTAGTTTGTTGCTGACAGATTTGGTTATTAGAGTATTTGAGTGAGGCAGATCACCCTTTGGTTATTTACATCTTGTTGATTCACAAGTAAACTTTTCAAACATTTTTTTATTTCTACTGCTACCAACACAGCCTTGTAGGAATTAGCCACATTCGGACCATTTCTAAACATTCTCTAGTCATGTTTCCAACTGTCCAAAAACATGTTTGAGAAAGGTATTTGCAACCTGGGCAATGCTTGTTAAGTACTGTCATTATATAGAGCTTTCATTTTCTGCATAGACATGTGAATATTAGACCCCATTCTGGACAGACGAGGGCAAGAGGGGAAAAAAGAATCTTTTTACCTAAGATTCATCATGTTGCTACAGTTATTTTTAAGGTAACTTAGAACTTCAGTTTACTGTTTTAGATTCAGGAGCAGAGAATTATTTTTCTGAAAAGTTATTCCACATGGAATAGACAACCTCAATCATACAATTTGATTTTATCATTGGAATGCATTAACTGTATTTTGCAATAGACTTTTGTCCAAGCTAATCACTTTTGTGTTTTTTCCTGTTGGCACAAAGATTTGCATTAAGCTTCAATTCTGTTGTCAACCCTTAACTCAGCTCTCGAAGTATTTCAAAACATAACCTGCTTTTCCTTAAGATAAAGAAAAATACAAGTACCACTCCAAAAAATCAGCTATGAAAAAGGGGCCCAAATTGCCATTTGTAACATAAGCATGTATATGTATGCACACAACTACATACACTTTTCTATACTGTGCTGCTGCTTTGTTACATTATTTGGAACTTATTTTGCTATTTTTAATTCCATAAATTCTATGTTCCATTGGTTAACAGAAGTCAAGTTGCAGAAGCTAGCATTTCAGCACGATTATCAGCCACTGAATCAAGGATCTTATACACTTGATACAGGACAGCATAGAAGACACTTAAAAGCTTAGCAAAAATACAGATTATACTTGTTTTGTAACTGACTCAGACACAAGCCCAACATGCTCAACTTAAACCAAATCTGACTAGGTTGCTTGTTTGATAGATTGGCATTGACTTCAGACCAAAGTTTTAAACCAAGTAGCCCATGAAAAAGGTACCTGAAGAGTGACCACTGCCCCCTCATTTATTAGTTTTCTGTTCTCCTAGGTAAACCTTGCAGAAGCCCAGAGTTCTCAGCAGCATAGTCTTCTTCCTCCTCTATTTCAATAACTTCAGTTGATTTTGCACGTTTTGTTTCGGGCTTTGATTTCTTCTTACTGGGAATTTTGCTGCTTATAATGAAAGCGCTGTTCTCCTAAGAAAATGGAAGACAGAAGTACTCACAAGTCTAGTTTTCAGACACTTAAAGGGTAAGATTTTGGTAGTAACTCTGCAGACTTTAAGTATAGGAATTCTCTGACATTCCAGCATTATTTCCAGAGAGGAGAACATGGGACTCTAAAAACAACTTCCTTCTGCAGTACAGATCAGAATTCACAGGTATCATACAGTTAACTCTGGATCTAAGCTCAAGAATTAACTACTCAGAACATTATCTACCAATTCTTTAACCTCAGAAGAGAAAGGTTAGAGTTCTTGAAGTTAGGAGTATTTACTCACCACTACTCTGGCATCAAGGCCATCTTGATTATCAGAATTCAAGTTGTCATCATCATCACTGAAATAGAGAAATTAAGCTCTGTACTTTTTGGTAGCTTAAAAATGTATGAACTGTTTTTATACTACAGCTCCTAGTTTCTCTTAATGTGTATAAAGCACTACAGCTTGTAGGTATAAGATTTCTACAGATGATCTACACGAGACTTCTCAAACAATAGTTTCTGACCGCAGAATTACATCCCAACTAGCAATACTGGCAAGATGGAAGCAGTGCTTAGCAGAACAGATTCAGTAGCAGACTCCAATAGCAGTACTGATATTATTTAGGATGACACTGGCAACCAGGCTAGAAAGTCAGCAAGTTAGAAAATGAGCAGAATACAATGAAGAAGAGGATAGGCCTCAGCTAACAAGAGTACACAGCTGTCTTCCTGATACTACAACTGAGAAACACCTCCATACTGCCATGAAAGACAAGTATGAAATTCCACTATCATCCGCAGGTTTTTCCTCTCAATACAGAGCTCCCCAGAAAGAGATGGAGCCATTTGAGTTCTATGGTTTCAGCAAGTGGCAGCAGGAGGACTTTTTCCAAAAACTTCTGAAGTCTTCTAGTACTCATTGCTGTTGGAGAAGCCACTGCCCGAGCATCCACACACCAATCAAGGAGTCACACACACCACCTGAGACTAACTGCTAAGACCAGAGTCCCTTTGCAGCAGGAAACTCAGTGAGCTGAAGGATGCCCCTTTCACCTCCTCACACACATACTCTCAGATGCTTCCTCTTCCCTGAGGCTTGACCCTAGGTTTCCTGAAACAAAATCTCCGACATCACATACACCAGATGAATGTGTTAAGTGATACAGTGGTGAAGAACAGCTCAAGCTGGGTGCATGCTGGAGAGGGACCCTGAAAGAATCTCTGGGCAATTATACCCTTACACTCTAAGTTCCCCTCCCCTCACGAGGGAGTTCAGTCCAATAGCAGTATTTGGGTCTGAGGTCTACTTGTTCCTTTCACTGCCTCCAGGCAAGCCATTCTTTTCCTTTTCTCAAGGAGGCAACTTCTGCTGATGGATGTGACTATCTTTCTAATTTACACCAGTTTTAGGGCCTTCCCTCATGTAACGGAAGTCAAAGAGTTCAGTATAAGCTCATCAGTATCTAGGTGAAAGTTCACGGCTTGCAGCCCAAAGCTTTTTACTGATGCTATACAATGGATTCCATCTGAACTAGGAAGTGGCTCCTCTAACACTCACTATACACAAAGAGTTGAGTGTCTGGATGAGCTGGCTTGCATTTATTCTACTGCATTTTGTTTCTTCTGCTCTTTTGTACAGAAGCAAACTAATTATTGTTACTCATTTTACAGGCTCACCCTAATACGTCAACTTGCATAAATTAGCAGTTTAAGTGACTACTAAAGCAAACAATAGCTGAAAGACAGCTTTGTACCTTTGGGCTGTCTTCCAGGCTTTCCAGTTTCAAGCTGCTGAGTATACTTACAACATTCATTATTCTTGATGATTTACTAATCCCTTTATTGCTTTTAAGTTAAACTGACCATAAAGACACAAGATGATACTTCAATGCTTAATAAAGTAGAAAGGAAACTGAACTAATTTCAGGAAATACCTTTTTAAAAAACATTTCTACCACATCATTTTAGGGAGACAGAAGACACCACTTGAAACAGTCTTTAAACATACATCTTTCTACAAGAAGTTACAAGTCATTTACAAGCACAGAATCCCAAGTGGCTGAGCACTGTTCCCAAAATAAACAATGCTTTCATAAGCAGACACTCATATTTAGATTACACAATGTTGATACAGGCTAAAAAGACAGCATTAGGAACTGAACTTGATATACCTACAACATACAATACCTGTCACAAGATTGCACACTACTGCACTACCTCCTGAATTCCTCAACTGTAACAGCAGACTTGTATTGGTCCAGCCAGGACAGCAGCCAAGTTTGCATTTGCCACTAAAGCAGTGCTGGCACTCTTCCCATGCCAGCAAACAGGCTGGGGGTAACCAAGAGCTGGGGGGTGGGGAGTTAGGCATTTACCTGTATACACACAGACTTATATTTTAGTTAAAAACAAAAAAGCAAGTTTTATACCACCTAAAGACAAACTTACTTTGTCTCCTGAATAGGGGAAATGGGGCCTTCATCATCTAAATATTTGTGTTTCCGTACCATCAGACATTCTCTTTCTAAGTCTTCACTAGCCTGAAGGTCTTGTAAAGCTTTTTTAAGATGTTCTTCGTATTTAAGCACTTCAATGTACTTGAAATAGCCTTTTGCAGCTGCTTGCTAAAGGAAAATGCATCAGGTGAGATCTCAGAAATACCACTATAAAGCATTTATATTATGAACTGAAATGTAGTATTATACTGACACACATTTTAGCTGTGTTTTTCTTAAAGGTATTAAACAGACAACATTAAGTGTCCTGTTTAACAGAAGTAAAAACTGCTTCATTCATTTACTGTAGCACATCAGGTAGAAGCACAACACAGCAAACTTAAATTCACTATTTTTAGACTAAACAGAAAAATACATTTGTCTCACAAGACAGAGAACTCACCTCATAGCCAAGAACCATCTTTAAGGGAATATGTTTCTTCCCATAATGTTTTTCAACAAAAGGGAATTGATAACCTCTGTCTAGAAGCCTTCTCTTTTGCTCTTGAGGTGAGGCTGTTAGGGGCGGCCTCCCTGTAGGCATCTGTGTGCTTTCATACTTCTTCTTCTTCTTCCCTGAGCCACCTCTGTATTTTCGGTGTGCAGCAGCCTTAAACTTCTTTCCTCTGAAGTGATAGGCAAAAATGGCTTTCAAATTGAGTTTTGACTTCTGCTTCTGGGGAGTTTCAGACGATTTCACTGGACTTGGAGGGGATAGAGAAAGATCTGAAGAGCTTTCACTCTCAGACACTCCTGCAACAGATTCAGCTTGTTGCCTTGAAGCTTGAGATCTCCTTTTTTGCTCTGAAGGTGCAATGGAGCACTTAGGATGGTACTCACTGCCACTAGCAGCAGAGAGATCACTGAAGAAGAAAAAAAATATTTACTTTCAAAAGAATGTATACTTTTATGATATGACACAGGTTCTTCACATGAAAAATTCTAAACCAGAGATAAAAACTCACATTTCTGAACCACTGCTGTCCAGTAAAACCTCAGCTGAAGCAGCTGATTTACATATACTGTTAAGCTCATCTGAAGACTGGTCAGCAGCAGCATTCTTCTGCCTTGAAGACTTTGTTCGCCTATTTGTTTCACACACATGTACCTTACACAGTTCTTTCTTCTGTTGGTTGCATATCAGCTCTTGGGCATCAGGGCAATCTGAGCCAGAAGCCTGGGATTCATCTGTATCAGTCATATTTATTTCAGTTTGCCCTAGAAATCAATGAGTATTCAAGAAATTAAAGAAAATTCTATGTTAATTAACCTAAGTTAACCTTCCACCACTCCACCTATTAGGGTAAGCTTATAAGAACAATCTGTGAGCAAATTTCAACATCTATTTTCTATGAACCACGAGCAAATGTATTACCCTTCAGAGTAACAGTTAAGTTACAGCCACTTATCTCAAGACATTCATAGCATAATTTATATCAGAAGGGATTTGTACAGATCTTTTAGTCCAACTCCTGCTCAAAGCAAGGCTAACTTTAGAGTTGCAACAGATATTCAGAAACTTACAGATATGAGTTCCGCATGTTTTAACCTTTTCCCTACTAGGAATACATTTTTCCTTATATAAAAGCAGTATATCTGTACCTCTGGAGTTTTACTGTGCTTTTTACAGTTTCACAGACCCATCATCATACCCATTAATATCTCAACTCTGAAGACACTATAGCAGAACACATCTAATGTCCTCAGATAACCTGCTGCTGAATGGAGGTAGTGTTTGATGTTTCAGAGTACAGATTACTGCACAGATGCAGGAAGAAGGCGTCCCAAAAGTATGCAAAGACAAAGGTATACAACAGCAAATTGAGAGGTCTGAAAATATAGTAGATGCATATAACTAGCATTAAAGAGTAAGACTAGCAGGCCAGAACACATAGCTACAGGACACAGCCAGCCATGACTGCTCACAATATTAAGTTCCATTTCCTCTCTAACCCATACAGCTACAGTGATCTCAAAATTATTCTCAGAACAAAGAGGATAAAGATACCACTAATCTCCTGCAGCTGTACATCAGTGACTGAATTTTAAGCAGTCTACATTTATGTGACTTTTTGCATTATCTAACTGTTCATGGCAGAACCTTCCCCGTTGCATTTTTCAATATGAAAATATTTCATTCCAAACCTGCATTAAATGCCGACTTAGAAGTACATGAGACCTTAAACTCATCCTAATGCACTTAAAACAGCAGCACAGGGGCCCAATCTACCTTCGCTGTGAGGAATGGCGATTTTTGACGGCAACCGGCACCTATGCCCTGGACAAACTGCGGGCACACCGCTAACATTAGTTCGCCCAAGACCTGACAAACACACCGTCCAGGAACAGGACGGCCTAACATGAAAGGCACGAACACATGCAACACTTAACTACACAGGCTGCGGCTGGTACTTAGAGCTGCCAGCTCAGCATCGTTTGCCGCCTCTACTGCGGCTCTACTCTCAACAGCTGTCACACCAGACAGATCTCTTAGGGGAGAAAAGCAAGCAACATGTAACTGTCTAATTACTTCACACAAACTTCTCTCCTCCCAGAAAGCTCATCGATCACTTCGCCCAGCTTTACCTCAGGTTGAAAGGCACTAGCCC